GAATGGTTTAATTAAATAGAGATATTGCTCACAAAGATATCTCGTTTTTGATTTAAACACAGATTTCATCGATGAAAGCGACGAATACACTCCTATTCACCTGGTGTATCGATAAGGACTCTATTTTTTGTTTTCACTGTTTATTTTCCTTTTTTTACCTTTTGTTTTTGTAATCTACGGGGATGGGTATGGAAGCGTGTCGGTCGTTACAATCGGTGGAAAAAACTTCATTTTTGCAAATGTTCGTTTCACCGACAACGAGCGTTTTGAATGGGTATCACACGGCTAGTTTTTTTTTTTTTTATTTTATTTTCATTGGCGCGGGTTTTTCACCTGAACCGCGAATAGCTTTGTGATCTGAGGATAGAGATTTAGTGATACGATAGATTTCTCATCGTTTAGAAATTAATTTATTGGGAATCAAGCTTGGAAATGAAAGAATTTCACCGCCAAATTAAACCGAGATGGTGTCGTTGTTAATGATTTAATTATCATTTTCATTATTCATCGAGTTAAATATTTCAGAAAAATGGAGAAAAAAAAACAGTCATTTCGAGGACATTGAACTATAGAGATTGACAGTTTCTGAAGTACATACAACGATTCTCAAATCCGTACATTAATTTCGTCCCGCGACAGGGATTAATAATTGAATTATCCAATTAGCTGTAATTAATTAGGTTAATTAGATATAATAATTCCTCGAAAGTACCCTGGATTACCAATAAAAAATAAAAGGTAATAAAATTACGAATTTGCAAATTCAGCGTTATTTAATATTCACAATTCACCCCGCAACCTCCATTAAATAAATACCCTATTTTCATAAAATATTTCCCCAAAAATGATTTTCTAAAACCTCAATAAAAATAGTTAAAAATTTGACAGTTCTGAAAAAATAACGGCAAAAATAATGAACAGATGAAATTAATATTCTGCGGAAGGAACACCAAAGGCAAGAACACCAATCACGACAAAAAAGAAAAAAATAAATTGAAATGGAAATCGAGAGCTCTTTGCCAGTATAAAAAGAAAATTAAATTTCCTGAATTACTCCGGAAAATTTGATCAAGTCATCAACTAGAAATGGAGTTCTCGGCAACTGGTCGGACAAAAGTTGTGTAAATAACCCTTTAACTTTTAAAATACCATCTGCATTCGATGTTGAGGGTGGAGGATGCGGTGGACCCAGTGTTAATCGTCTGAAGCCATTTCCCAAAAGTTTCCCCAATGTCACCCAGTCTGACCCGTCGAAACACACGCGCCCCGTGCACACATTTCCACCGGAAATGCTTGTATTTATCTCAAAACTGTATCTCGAGAGCATTTCACTCGAACAAGTTTCATCCTAACCAAAAGCTCCGGAATCACTTGGGCTTTAACGTCAAAAATCGGAGGGTTGGGGCTAAAAGACTGCAAACACCAGGGAGTTAACTCGACAGGTGTCTTGCCTATGCAAGCCATCATTCAATTCATAACACTCCCCATTGCATTTCCCTGTTTAATTTTATTGTAGCATTGGAAAGTGGGACAATTCAATTCGAGAAGAAATAACAACCCAAGTTGCTGATTGTTTCATCAATTCTTCCCGATCCGTGATTCCATGAATAACCGGAAGTAACGTCATATCGAATTGCTCGACTGGAAATTCATTAATTGATTTATGAATTTTCAGAGAGACAGTTAAAACATTAGATTTGGGATTTGACGTTAGAAAATTTGAAATATTTAACAGTGACAAGGTAATAGAAAATTTATATCGAATTTTTCATTGACGAACCAATTATGATTTCTGGAATATCCAGCTCACGTGAATTCACGTCTTAGAGAGAATTGAAGAAAATTTATGTCCTGGAAGTGATAGTGAGATGACCGCTCCACTTTTTTTATTGAACAAGATCATCCACAGGGGCATCCACTCAAAAATAAATAAATAAATCGATGTTTTCTAAATATAAAAACAGATATTCAAGAGAATGATCAGTCACGAGTTGACCCCTGGACCAAAGATTTATGCATTACGAGAAGAATCAATAATTCTTTGAATTCATACAAACCTGACCGACATACCCAGATATTCGAGTATCGATCAATACAGAATGTGACGATGATAAACCCAACTACATCATCCCGATTATGCCCATTTCCATCTTGGTTTTATTCAATCAACAACGTGCACTCTGTGTCTTATTCTCTCACTGTACCATTCAATAAAGAGATTTTCACTTCAACCTATTTTCGCCTCTAGCTCTCGCTCTTGCCTCGTCTCTTTTTACCTTTCATTTCATGAGACATGAATGATGTCTTTATTAGTCGGAAGGCAGGGAAGAAATGAAAAGAGAGGAAAAAAAAAATGAAGCATTCATATAAGTACATTTGACAGGGCTGACGTGTATGACACACCTAGGTAAAAAACTTATGGCTTCGTGCTGAAGGTTGGCACTTGGATGCGCGTAAAAGAGGATGAGTACTAGCATTAAATCATACCTGCCTGGCCGGATGTCTGTTATTCCTATCTACCTCCGGGTTGTACGCGCACAGCACCCATTAATTTTCATTAGGCATCCAACGAAAATTCATCCGGAAGAGAGTGATTTTGTCGACAGAAATGGAAATTGAGCAATTTTCTATCGGCAAAATTAGTTTGTGAAAATTTTTAACTCGATGTATACACTCAGAGAAAAATTAATACCGGATGAAATTTTTACGGCACTGTCAAGAGTTTCACGGAATTTGAATGACAGTGTCACCCGGATTTAAAGAAATGACAGTTTCAATTCGATTTCAATCCATGGGCACTCACTATTTCATTCGGATTCAAAATTAATGAACTATCGGGTTGTAGTGTTAGAGGATCAGTGGTTTTTCAGTAAAAGCTTGAATTTTTAACGGTCATGAAACGCGAAGTGACACTTGGATGAAAAAAAAGTAGCTAAATTGTTATCGGAAGCTTTTTGATAAAATTCCTGGACTAATTTAACTAATAATTTCAGATTTACACAATTTTAATTCAGTTTCCCAGAGTTCCCCGTAAATACGAAATTATAACGACAGAGAATTTAATTTCTCTAATGAGAACACTCCATTCTGATGATTAACGAAAAAAGCAAAAAAACGGAAATTCAGTTTACAGCGGCGAAGTTTTCAATACTTATCCTAGAAATCAAGGAGGATGCTGAAATTTATCTCGGTACCTTTCCATTAAAAGAGAGTGCGTGTTTTAAAAATTATTTTGATAAAAATCGTTCGCTCTCTCATAGATTCCGCGATATTCCTGACAAACTGCACTAATGGTTTATAATATAAACATTGTCAATTAAACCCCCTTTTCCCTCATATAGCAACAGTCACGACTGAGAATTGAAAATTCCAAATGACGAGATTCCCTTCTGATAATTATTTAAAAAAAAACAGAAAAAAGGTAAATTGCGTGCAAAACTCAATGAGAATCTAAAGATAGAAAATTCGATGTGTATTATATCGGTAACATAATTCGATTATGATTACTGCATTGGGGGAGGGGGTAATAGACAGTTTAAGTATGATTACTTGTGTGATGACCCTAGTGATATTAATATGTCGTATGATGACCAATTATTTTATTATAAAAATATGTAATTTTTACCGACCTTTATATCTTCTAAGGGGCTGGAGAAAAAAAATTGTCCACACCTGAAACGAACTATAAAAGAAAATTATTCTGGTTCAGGTGAAATTTTTCTGTGTTAGAGATTATTGCTAGGAAGACACATCCACCGTTTTCGAACGTCGAAGTTGGACTAACAACAGAAAAATAGATCGTACAGTCTTTGGCAGACCCCCAAAGTTCCCGTTATTTAACCGAACCCGTTGTTTAGACCGAAAATCAAACATCTTAACATTTGTCCACGCACTCCTCAGAATTCTAGATCAGAAAAATGTTCTCTCAAATAACAAGATAAACACACTGCGGAATATAGGATTAATTTTTGTAGCCATGAAATCGTACCTCCAACAATGAGCAATCAAAACAAATTTGTTGATTCAAAGATCAGCAATTGGCTCGCCAAGCCGACGACGGATGACCAATTGGATTTTCGGGTTGAAGATTGGCCTTGGACTTGGTCAGTGGTCGGGTTATATTCCATCCTCAGTTAACCAATTCGCCCTCAAAGCTAAGCCACGGTATCGGTCACATTGCCTGGAATACTTGGAATGATGAAGAGCCCGAGGGATTCTCCTTCACTCGGCTACTTCAACCCTTGAAAATCTCCCCGTTGGCCAGTGGACTCGAGAAATAGCAGACACACAAACGTATAACCACCGGCACCCTTTCCAATTTACCATCTACCTGTTCTTCTCAGTGCACTCATTTCCCCCCTAGTTATTTATTTTTTCCTCCTTTTAACTCGTCCCTCTCAAATCCTCCTTGTTAATTTCACCAACACAATTTCTCTCCCTTGAACTCGAATCCCCCGCCAAAACGACTACTCGTGTAATAAGAACGTATATAATTACCACTGCATTACCATCCGTTCTATCTGGCTTTCTTTGATATTTTACTCTGCAGAGCTCCGAGCTAAATCAACATGTCAATTATAACAATGAATGCGGCAATGAACGGAGGTAAATTGATTATTTATAAAGATGATTCCATAATAATGAGTTCATGTGAATCTACTAACCGAGACGCTTTCGAGTCATTAAAGTGAAGATAAGCGAGAGCGTATCGGCCAAGTGGTTGGTGTAATTTTATAGATCTACAACAAATCCAATCAATGTCCGGTGGGTTAATAATGAATGTTCCGGGTCGAATTTCACCGTGTCGAAGGATTTTTATCCAATGACAGCTGGATTTTTTAATCTTATCTGGAGCGATTCTAAAGTTACATCCGAAAAGTTTCTATCACCTGTCAGAGCAGAGGTCATTTCTCTGAATAATTCAGCATTCAATACTCATCCATGGCTTCTGTGAGAGACTGGAAATATACGCGGGGACAGATGCAGAAAGAAACATTTCATAAATAAAAATAATCGTTTTATTGTAAATATCTTAGATTATTTTACAATGCTAACTCTCAAAGAATCATCCTCCTTGAGTATTGACATTTCTATTTACAAACTTTCATTACTATTATACAAATAAATTATAATGTTTTTATCTCTTTTATTTGCGGATGTCGATGAAACAAACAGCAGTTGCCGTTCCTAGACACTTTTATATCTTAACAATTTTCCCAGACGCACGCACAAATACTGTATGTAAAATGCAGGAGCCATTACGCAAATTGCATTTTCGTCCCTATTTTACATGGTTTTTTTTATTCGTTAATGTTTACGCAAACTGCAATTTCCTACATGAAAATGCAAGCGTACCGCCTCCTCCTTTTATTTACTCTCATTGCTGTTTTTGCGTCTTGCACACAAGTTATTCACTAGCTATTTAACATTAATATGAGTAAAAGGTACAGACGAACTTTGCATATAATAATACTTAGAATTTGGGGCCAACTAAAATATAATCGGCCGACTTCAACGTTCAACAAAACACTGTAAAAGGCAATTTCCAACTTGAAATTTTTCCTACAATAACCATTATCTACCTCTTCACTCGTAAATATTGAATATTCATACTCCCTCCAAATTCTATCAACAAAATTGTGCGCTATTTTATTTACACGTGTGCGCTCAAATCCAATAATTCAATAAGTCCTTCTCATGCTGAACAATCAATTCCCTCAAAGGATTGTAATTATGATAAAGGAATTACCCAATTTTCTCCTCAAGGTTGCAACTTTCCGCCACAATTCTTTGATCTAATAGTGTGAAATTGTGCTGGAATTGCTCCATAAAAAGAAAAAAAAAATCGGATAACTCCTCTTATTTTCCACTGTGTAAATTCTACGAGTCAATAGAGAACTACCGGCAATCGATCCACGCAAGTAACTCCCAAGAATAGAAAACCCTCGAAACCCAGCTAAAACCATCACTTGTTTCTTTCTTTACTCTAGCAAGTATTATTGGTAAATTTAGTGGAAAGGTAGCATCGAGATTTCTTCTCTTCCTCCGAGTAAACGTTTCTCCAATACACTTCGGAGGAATAAGGTCACTTCCTCAAATTTGTGGGAAAAACATTACAATAACACAACTATCCTTGATAAGAGGAAAATAACTAAGCGATGTTTCGAGTACATTTACACAGTGAATTGATTGTTCATTGGAAGAGACAACAGAAGACAGAAATGGGGTCGAGACGAAATTTAGCTCATCTAGATGTACAAAATCCCTCACCCATCCTCAAGAAATACACGTAATATAAAACACAAGAATAACCCTCTGAAAACAAGACCCTTGTTCAATAGAAGAAACTCAGATTTGTTTCAAGAAATAACAAGAACAAAAAAATACAACTATACTTGACAGGTGGTACTTGCCAGTCTTCCTCTTGGTTTCTCACTATTATACACAGTAGACATACATCTCTAAATGCAAGGAAAACTGAAATATTCCTACAGTGAAAAATAAACTGAGAACGGGGGTAGCCAAATAAAGAGAGAACAAAAAAATAAGGAGAGAAAAGAATTGAGGGAGAAAAATGATAGAGGAAGCTTACAGCTCGTTGAATAAAATGAGAGAGATTCGTCGAAAAGTTTCCGCTTTGAGGGTGCAAGATAAATGAAGAAGAACGAATAGAGTCAATGAAGACATGAAGTTAGAAGGACAAGTTAATGAACGGAAAAGTTTGCCAGGACTCGATTGGCAGGGCTTTTCCCCTCCTCTCTCCCCCCTTCTCTTGTTTTACCATCTTTTGAATTCTTTCTCTTCTCCATTTCCTCAGACTTTTTAGATGATGAAGAGCACACAAGCGGTTCAATATTGAATCAAACTTAAAGCTAAAGATGAATTCGGCCAGTGGCTTGATGCAATGAGCGAGGTAATTGCCTCACGTGCGACAGGTTTCAAGTCCAACCAAGGTAGATGCAATATAAAATAACGATTGAGAAAAAAAAATAAAGGATTAATTACTGCGATCTAATTCTTGGCAATGAGAACTTGATAATTTTCACCGTTCATCCGGCGTTATCTGGCCATATTCTCTCTCCGTTCATTGATTTATTGGCTAGCTTGCCATCGTGATTATTATTTTACTAGTTCTGTCGCAGAATGTTGATATTGTGGGGCAAAACTCCTGGTAATTTCTTTGAAATCGCCAGTCTGATGACTCCTTCAATTGAGGTTGTTTAGGAATCTAAATTCAGCTGATGGAGAACGACAGACAGCAGAGGCACTTTTCCTACTTCATTTCGCTGAGTTGTAGACTTTGGAAGATCTTACGTGAAGTATCGGGACGTCAAACCGGATACCAATAGCAATGCTCCACTGATAGTGAAGGATGGACTACTTGAATGGAGGGCGCACTCTCCCTTGTAACGAGCACAGTGCATCTGAAACATCATTTACAGGGCCATGCAATTACACATTATCAATTATTAACGTACGTTTAAATTGGAAAGTTCGAATTGAACTGGTGATGAGGTGATTAATTAAATCATATATTTTGCGATACATCAATTTCTTTCAGTTATTTTTAATGCACATTTACTGAATGTGTATTGCAAAATCATATTCATGCAAAATTCCCTCAAGAATTTTATGGGTTGTCAAATATTTTGTGCATCTATCAGTTACGCAAGAAAAAATTCAATCCATTGGGTAACTTGTGGATATATTGGGGGTAGGGTAGAATCACGTTATAGTCGCACCTCTCCTCAATTTCTTTTTCGCGTATCTTTCGGTTCCCCGACTCTACTACCTCCGGGCTACAAGATGCAAACAATCCATTATTTCAATTGGTGAGGGATCGAATTCCATGAAAAATAAAACTGAAAAATAAATTTCTCTCGTATTCAAATTTTCTATGAAAAAATTGAGTTTACGGTCGCAGCGAGCGTGTGGTGGGGGTAGTTGCCCCGTGCACGCAACTATAACGAAAATCTACGGTAATATTGAAAGATGGTAAACATTATGAATGCAATGGAATTTTCCTGATGTATAGTCCCAAACTTCGATAGAATCCCGGAAAAAATATCCCAGGGAAAAAATATCCCACACATTCAAAACGTCTTAAAACTCGCTAAATTTAATGATTTTTTAATTTAATTATTTTTTTCGTTGTCTATTTTTTCAGGGGCTCTAATTTTCCTATGGTCTATCATTGGGTGGGTTTTAACACGTTTTGGGTGTGTGGGCTATTTTTCCCGGGGATATTTTTTCCGCCTACCACTTCGATAATGACTCGAAAATTTTTCCACTGTTTTCGAATTCTTCCACTATTTTTGGAATTTCTGGAATGAGTACATTAAACAGTTCAATTCAAATACAACGATAACATGAATATATTAAAGTACAAACCTTGATCAGAGAGTTGGCCATAAGATCCAGAAAATTTTTCGTAAATACAGCTGTTTCCTCACCACATTTCCTGCGTACAGTATGATGTGAGCACTCTAGATACTCTTGGAATGCACTAAACAAGAAAGTAAATAAAGCGTAAAATAAAAAATATTTTTGTCGAATGAATAAAGTTTAATTAACAGAAAACAATGAGATTTTCTTGGACAAAGGGTTTGAGGAAAAAAAGGAGGAAAATAACCGGAAAAAGAAGAGTTTAAAAAATTATTGAAGTCCAAGTACTGTTGTGTATGCCGAGAAAAATACAGTAGGATATCGCTATCTTTGCGCTTTGTGTATATCCATTACATGTATTTCTACCTCTGGGTGTTTCTCCGAGTTTCCCGCGGGAATGTGTCGAGTCGGTTGCTCGATGTTATAGTCCAGTATGTAACGTCATTAGCCTATCTGTGCTACGGTCTACTGCAGCTTTTGAACTCTCGTTTCCCGGAGGAGGGATTCCCTCTCTCTTTTCACATTCTTTCCTCTTTCAGCCCCCGAAGAATGAAAGAGTTGAGCAAAAAAAAAACAGAGAAAACGGAAAAAAAAAATGTTCAAGAAAATTCTCCGCGATTTTTTACTCAATAATTCACAACTCCGAGTTATAAATGAGAAGGAGTGTTGTTGAGTTACAGCTGGCTTCTGTGTTTGCTCCGAGTTTTTATAATAAAAAAAAAATGATAACCACACGGAAGGAAAAAAAGAACAATTGGCTTGCAACAAATTTTTCCGCTACGCGTTCATCAGGAATTTGGAATAATTCTCCATCAAAGACAATCGCGGGTTGATATGATGCAAAAATATGTGCATTCGGTTATGGAAAATATACAGACGACTTTTCGACATGGTGTCAAGGACATACAGAGGCAGTTAATGCACCACTCTGCTGTTCTTTTATCGATTACAATGAATTCAAATGAAACTCACCAGCATATTGACTTTATTGGCTCACTAGACCTCGTTTGGTTTGTCTTATCGAGTGCTAGTACTGTGTTTTGGTACTTTTTTGAGCACATTTCATAATCCGTCTGAACCTTCTGCATGCACGGGGCGTGCTTCAGAAATGCTGAAACATTAACATGAAAATCGATATCAATTCGCTGGTCATTAATTAATCATAAATATTGAACGGCGATTTGTGACAAATAGTTCCACTGGAATTTGTGGATAAATTTTCATTCGTTGTGAGAAAAAAAATTTAATTTTTATCAACAGCAATTATTTGGGTGTGGGGAAAAAATATGAAAAATTAAACAATCCTTAATTCTAACCCAGACTTTTTTTCATGTCAATTATTATCGAGTGATTAAACTGAAATTGACCAGTAATTATTTCTACTGATTGAAAAAATTCCAGTCAGAAAATAAATAACAATAAAATTCCGTGGAATTATCAGTAAATTACATTGAATAATAAATTGCCGAAAACGATGAGAATATACGATTCATGAGATTTCATCATATAACCGTATTGTTTCTTCAGAAAACTCGTTGAATATCCTCCGAATAAAATTCAAGAACTACCGTAAAATCCCCATAATCGAATCCCTATTTTTATTTAACAATTATGTTCAATAATTTAAAAAACGCCAGAAACCATTCACTAAAGTTCATTCCAATAAAATTACGATAATCATGAAAACGCAGCTCCTCCTATAGAAAGAATTCGCCTGAATCTCAGCGACTTGACACGGTGAACTCGTTATGGTAAAATTTTCCAGCGTCATTAAAACTTTTTTTCCGGGGCATATCGAAAAAACTCGGTCCAGAGGGAGTTTAATGACTTTAAAAGACCGGTGAAACCAAATGGAAAGGGTAAAATGTCGGTGACAAAGCCGGATAAAGACAAATCGATGGAAATCCATGGCTAGTATAATTGTGCGTAACACAGGACACCGCCTGAGGGAATTATCAGAGATAGGTGAGTTGGTGTATTTGAAGGGTTGCTCCGAGCAAGTGGAGAAGACAAGAGCTGTTGCAGGAGGTAGGGAAGGGCCGAGTATCCGCTCAGAGAGTACCTCTCAACTCAATAATGCATTCGGCACTCACGAGATTACCGGGATAGATGGCGTCGAGTATCAGTACTCCCAAACTACCATCGCAAGTGTCTGATGGAATTCAACGTCAATCCATTCTCCGATACTCCTACTGAGGACATGTCTAATGTGCCGATTACCACTTACATAAATCCCAGAAAAAAAAAAATTTTTTCTTACGAATGTCTTCATTAAACTTTCATTTCCATCAATTCAAGAAGCCCAATTTCACTTCACCGAATTCACCTGGGGGTTAATCCTAATTCTGTCTTCATTCAATTGAAATATTTATTTTTCAATGCTGATCTAATATCACCGAAATTCATTCCATGTATCTATATATATGTGGGATACCACATATATATTTTCACTGACGTTCATGTCTCATGCAATTAAATTTGGATTGTTATCGATGGTCATGGAATAATTGAATGAAATTAGCTTTTTCCGATGAAACTTTAAGCAATTATTCCTAAAGTAATAATGGGGTAAGGAGCTTACTAGTATTAATGGGTTATTGAATTAAATTAAAATTGTCCCTCACCATCTTGATAGGGTCCCTCCTGGCACAGCTCAACGATGGCCATGTTTATTCCTAGGTAGAGATTATTGAAGTGTTCTCGCTCTGTGCCTTTCATGCACCTCAGGGTGTACAGCTTTATGCAGCTCATGCCTTTCTCCAGGTCTCTGTCAGCAGAACAAAAAAAGAGAAATTAAAAATTGAGGGAAAATACTAGAGAGGGGAATGGACAAGGTGGACTTTATGTCCGAGGTAACAACCGAGTTCTCAACAATCAACTGAGCTTTTCAGATAAATTGACTGGAATGGGAGTGTTGTCCCATCCTTCATCCTCTTCTTCCTCACCCCCTTGATGACTTGATCTTCAACCTCGAGTTTAGGACAAACGGCTCTTGAGTACTTTTCATGAGTGGACTTGGGTCGCATTTTGAGTACCCAATGTGGATAATGAGAGGAAGATGGCTGAAGTTGTAACAAGAAGTCAGACGTTTTGAAGGCCGGAATTGAGGACGGGGGATATATTCTGAGGGTGCGGAAACTGTCATTCGATAAACGAGCCAACTTGTACAACTCGTCGTGCTGAGATAACCCTCTTGGTGGACCACTTCACCAATTATCCCGAAATACTGGATTATGAAGTCCTCTGGGCGATGGAGATGGCGATTTTATTTTCATTCGACTCCATTAAATTCGGATTTAACAGATGTTTTGGCTAAATGGGTTTCATTTAGTCCCGAAAACGTTCGTATTAATTTCGTGATTTCGAGAGGAAGCGGTCGGTGACCACAAATCCACCTACGGAAATCAACTCGATGGATCGAATGCCGGAGGATCGGCCTCGTAATTCCAATTACTGATATGAAATTCCTCAGGGATTTAACCTGGAGTGGATATATCTGAGATTACATAAAAACTGAGAAATCTAGAAAAATTTTCAAAAGATTTTTCCTGTGGATTAAATTTATAAAAACGAGAGACGATCTACAATCTTTTTATTTAGTAGTAAATTGAAACTAGTAATTGATTTTTTAATGAAATTAAAGATCTCACATATCAGAAAATATTTTAAAAGACTTGAATAATGGAAGAGTGGATAATTCTGACATTTAATTTCAATTCACAAATACTGAAAGAAAAAAAAAAAGAGAAAAATCCCTGGACAGTATCCACTGAGATAACTCGATGAAAAAGTTGGATGACAGAAACCATTTCCCTGATTTAAAGAAAAAAAAAGCGAATAAAGTTAATAAGAAAACTGTAGCCGGATGAAATTAACCACAGAACGGACTCCAATCTATTTGGGAACTCGCTGATTCAATTCCCTTGGGTGGACGATAAAAAAAATTATATGAAAAATGAAAAATACTTACGGACAGAGTGCATTGAGTTCCTCCTTGCTTGCGACAAAGCCGAGTTCATTGTTGTTTGTAATTTTACCGAGTGGTCTGGCACAGCTGGCAAGTTCCTCACGGCCGCACTCCTCTCCACGACAGCTAGCCAACACTGAAATCATAAAATTTCACCCCATAAATATGGAATAAAGCCCAGCGACCCTCGAATGCAATAGCCATAGTAAAAAGTTGTAAACCAATGGGTTTAAAAAATTAACTTCCACCCCATCATTTATAGCCGTTAAACTACCCGAGATCAAATGGAAAAAGGGAAAGTTTACTGCGGGAAAATGGTTCAAAGGGGATTTAAGTATCTCTACAGTCTTAACAGGGTCTAGAGGGGATGGGAAAGGGGGTGCAACCAAACAGCTCTACCTGGAGGTGGTGTACTGGCCGTCCAATACCCGGGGACTTGGCTTGATCCACTTGAGCCGCTGGCTCTCGCCTTTTTGTCAGATTAAGAGGGATTAAATATAACGTTCCAGCAACGACCCAACACTGACTACCATGAACTAAGGCAATTCTGATGTATTTTACGCCTCACCTATATCCCCCACTTAATATTGAGATTTTCATAATAAAATCAATAATCCGCAATATCTAATGCCAGCCCTCAAAGACGAAAAACCAGAGCTTTATTTATCGAGTGATTATCCTCGCACGAACTAAAAGTTTTTTCATTTGAATCGCTGGGGTTTAATTAAGTAATCTGTGCACTATTCATTACAACTCCAGAAATGAGGAAACAGATGCCTTTTTCCAAGTTGATTTACTGTTTTCAAGGTAGTATGTGCATATTTGCATTTGAAATTTGTGGAAATTGGAAATTTTTTTGTGATTAATAAATTGGTGGAATTTCATTTTTTTTTTCTCTAAAAAATATTGAAATTTCTGTAGCGATTAATACTGGGCGAATGTATTTCTTGGATCGTAGAGCAGCTATTTAAAATGACCAGCGCCTTATTGATGTAATTTAATTATTATCAGTTTGAATGTCAATTTTATTGTCTCGAGCGAGAGTCAGTGCAGCACAGCAGATTAGAATTTTAAATCTAGTCGATGATGTACATTATTATTAGCAATTCTTTTGCATTATTCACGTTTTATTATTTTTTAAAATCTCGCTTGACAGTTCGTGAATCCACTAATTGCCAAATACTTAATCTACCTATTTCATTTACCAGTCGATTCGATAACGAAATTAAATTTCAATGTAAATACTACAGATTTAACCAATCATTTTTGAGGCTTCTCAGTTACTGGGAATTCAATAAAATTTCATCGCGGCAAATCGTAAAATCCATGGGAAACCGCAGATACTCCGTGGATATCCTGATATACAAACCATAGAAATTTTTCATCACCCCCATTTGTCTTCAGTTTCATCCACGCATTGTTAAACTAGAGAAAGCAGAGGGGATTCAGGGGGTTGGAGTAGGGTTGGGGGTGAATCCGATGCTCCAATTTGATGCAACTGGATATCCCCGCGCTTTAATTCTCACAGCTACGAAAGAATTTTTCCACATAAACCATAGATATCACATCTGCCAGGTGCATGGTTTTTAACGATGACGGATGAGACGCCGTGGAGGGGTGCAAGGGGGTGAAATGTGTACGCGAAATTTCAGCCGGTGAATCTGGTTTGCCTTGTATAGCTGTAGAAAAACCATTCGTTCAAATTAAGATGCTGACGCGAATTTAATGGCCCCCCCCTCGCGGCTTCGGGATTTATATATTATTTTTTTACATCCCCTTTTGTTTTACCCCGAAAACCCTCTGCCTTTCCGGGTAATGGAAATTTCTCGACTTAATGCGCATTTCAACAATAATTCTTATTTTTATTGCATTTATAAATTGTACGACGAGAAAGAATATTTCAGGTGTGAATAATTTGCCTATACTCCAAAAATAACCCCAAAATCATTCCCGGAGAGTGGAAACCATTAGCGTGCATTAACAGTGCAATTATATTAATCAAAAATTAATTAAAAGTAAGAAAAATTTGATGGTAAGTCTTTTTGGTAAAGGTAGAAATTGCCGCTCGATTTTTAAAAAGATTTTTTTAATTAGAAATCTTTGTGCAAAGAAAATACAGAAAATATATCGGTTTGGAATTGATAGAAGAATATTTAATTTTCGCGTCAAGGGGAAGGATGAAATTAATTGATCAAGTGATGACATTGACACTAATGAAGTTGATTGGAGATAATTATGATGGGAATGGGAGAGGTAATGGAAGCATCTGGTTGAAAACGCACAGTAATGCTTTCAGCAAGATTTTTTTTATCGAAGCAAATGAAAAAGTGAAATATGAAGTGCAGTAACGTCTGCTCTGCTCTATTCTATTCTCACTCTTATTTTCTCTCTCTTCTCGGAGTTGGAAAAGGTTATGGAAAGAAAAATATCCAACTCTTATATGTTTGTCGAAGAAATGGAGCCGAAGAAAAGAAGTCGATAAGAGAAGCATTGAGGGGAGGAGAATGAAATATGCAAGGTTTGCTATTAGGTTTGTTGGCTTCTCGATAACTCAGGTTAACCCACCATTACAGGCGACTATTCGTGTACCACGAATAATATATCGACTAATCAGATTAAAAAACCCAATTCATCTCCAAAACCCTGGAATTCTCATTCAACTCCAACTCCAACAGTTCTAAAATCGTCCTTTAATTTTCTAAATTATTAAAATCTTTTCCGACACTCAAAAAATTTCAGCGAACCCGAAATAAATTTGAAAAAATCCCCGCATAGCTCCCGTTATCATGTATTTTTTATTATGAAAAATATTTGGAAAATAGAAATACGAATAGAATATAGACATAAAAAAATCGTTTATATATTTTGAAAAATTTTACGTTTAACTGATTCACGATAGAATTCCATCATTGATTTTTTTTCGTAATGACAGAATTATAATTAGACAATTATGATCGAACATTTCAATTAAATATTAAAATTTGTACTAATCGAAAAATTATTTGCAAATAATGGAACCGGATAAAAATTTCTTTGTCACTGCCATCGCGATTCAATTAAAATTATTATCAAAAAAAAAAATTTCTTCTCGGAGTTAAAAAATATAAGAACATGGAAATTCAATTGAAATAATTAATTGGATTGTCTTGAACAGTGTGAGGATGGAATGGTGAAAATCAATTTGTCGAAGAAGCAAAATATGAAAATAAATAATGGAAATTGAGATTTTTGGTTAACCCATGCGTCATTAATCTAATACTCAGGCCACATATCCACCAACAAATATCACGTTATCTCGACGTCCAATCAAATCTCGATAATCGACGACCAGCATATATTCCACAATGTCCATAGTACTGATAGTGGCTAGGGGCGCGGTTTGACTACCACCCGTACCCCAGGAATTACACTCGTTTACACTCGCCTATGTCCAATAGCCGATGATATAAATAAATTTAAATGATAGATAATGTTCCGATTGTTGCCCGATGAAATTCCCCAGTTGCGTGACGATGACTCGTCGATCACAAACAAATATATCGTGGAAACGATTAATTTACAGTTCAAATGTCCACAATTCTATTGATTTACACCCCTAGAAATCGCGGTTGCTTCTATAAATAATTCTACACGTTAAATAGAATTGATTATTGATTTGCAGTACAAATCGTGTCCTCTCATGAATATCCAATTATTTATTAATTGAATTCATTTTCGATAACACCTGAAATATATATCATTGCTGGGAGGTCATACTCGGATTAAAAATCACTCCCTGGAATAATCCACTGTAAAATCTGTCGATAATTTCGGTGAGGTCAATCCAAAAAACTTCAAAAAAGTTTACAGCTCATCGATTTTATTGTGAATATGGTTAATAAAAAATGGTGAAACTTTATTTAAACAATGTTCATCTACCGATTTAATATACCCATCACCAGGACCAGCTCTTAGATAAATATTTACGCGTAAAGAATTATTCAATAAGTATTTATTGATAAGGATTTGCGCGGTAAAGTAATTACTCAACTTTTGTGTTAATTACTAACCAGATAATGCCGTTTTGTAGAAACGTATTAATTATTACTATAGCTCCGTTAATTATTGAAGTGTTTTACTGATTAGTCGAGCTAGTAAATCAATTTGATAATGATAATGTAGCCTAGAAATACTAAATAATTGTTGAATAAAACATTGAGTGGTACTTCTTTAATTATTGAAAGGATGGCATTCATTTGAATTTTAATTTACCTTTTTGTTCGTACAAACTATATGGCAATCTCTATTTTATACCCGAAATGAATAGGTTGTGGTTTCTTAATTAATTTTACTCTCCACTCAGGGGCTAACACTGACAATGGATTTTGAGTTTATCCAAAAAGGGATAGCTCTGAGAGAAGATGAGTCCAGGGATTCCATAAATTCCTGGAACATTTTCCAAAACGTGCCAGCAGAGGGTTATAGCACTCTTGGGAGGAAAATTACAGAGACATTACACGACCGGTCGTTAGTTAATTTTGCTACTCCTGCATTCAGTCATACACCTCTCACACCCTTTTTTCCCATTTCCATCCCTCGCGGACAATAGAATTAAAAATAAATAAATAAATACGTTAATATTATTGCAAATAACAAAACTAAAAGTTAATGATTGCTCGTAATTAACCGAGTTAATTAGGGATTGAGGGAATTAATTTTATCGTTTTGGTAGAGGGAGAAATTACCGAGTCATTGCCCTATCCCTTACTCGCTGCTAATTCGGTAATTTCGGGTAGTTTGCGGTCGTTACCAACTTCGGACCAACTATTTTCAAGCAACTCTTCTGAATACTTTGAGAGTCCAAGTTTCGGATGAAACATTTTTGAAGAAAGGGGAAGAACTTTAACGATTTTCTCTCCCCCAACAGCCGTTTTCAGATGCCATTCGATACTCCGGGGATAAAAAAAAACCGTAACATTGGTCTTATTAGAGTAATCTGACGCTTTATCACTGGTCAACTAACTCGTGATACTCTTGCTACGTGTGAAAACGTGATACTCTGGTGTGGCTCGTGAAAAAAGGGGTTATTCATTTCCATTCACAGCTTTCGAGACCGGAAACTCCACGGTTCCTTTTTCTAGGATTAAAGGACGTCAAAGAAATTCAATTCAATTTGACTGAAAATTCTAAGACAGCGATATTTCGGGAGGCAAAGGGTTTCTCCTCATGTTTAGCGAAAATTCTCTATCAAATTCGCTAATTCGGGAATTCGCTACTAATACCGAGCGCAATACCCAATGATTTTAATCTCTTAAAAAAACATCTTTGCCAATTAAATTCACTAGGTTCGGACCAATTCATTGGGGACCAGAATTTAATTGGGGATTTTACGTCGATTTTTCATGTACGCGAATTTTGGTATAAGCGTCCTCTCTTCGTCATTGAAAGAGGATAAAACCAGGGGAATATTGAATAGTAAAAAATCGCAATGGAATTATCAATGAAAAACGGCATTTGAGACATCTTTAGTTGTGAATTGCCAATGAATTCAAAATTTAATTCGACTCGCATATAAAAATTGACAGTATAAATCCACCCTGGAATATCCAGTAAAAAAAATTCTCAAAGCATCTACTTTTTACATCGCCAATAAAAACCCACAATTTTACAATGGAATCGGGTCACATCAGTTAAATTTCACGAGAGGAATAGATTATCCCAAAACCATAGAAATTCGTGAAAAACCTTTGTAGAACTTCAATTATTGCTAAAAATAAAAATGACCAGAGATGTAAAAAAATCAGTTAAAAATTCATTGCAATTCGCTTATGAGTATCGATGTTTCAATTAGACCTTGACGATCCAACAGCTGATGTCCACTGTGAATGATATAAAATATCTCACTTTATTATTAATAATAAAAATCCAATAAATTCCTAAAAGTCAGTAGAAAAGCGGTAAGATGATTCAATTGAATTCACTTTTCAATAGATAATAAAATTCAGGGAAATTCCCTCAACATATTGAAGGCTCTCCAGCTGAGCTGAAAATAGACTAAGACTATTTTTTCCTCAAGTGACTATTGAAATATTTGAATATTCACGCGCATTGAGGCTGCGCGCCAGACGGTGCGTGTAGTTAACGCCGGAATCTGCAAGGACAGTGCAATATGTTTCTGATTGGCTGAATCGGCATCGTATGACACTCCTGTCATACGTTTTAAATATGAACACAAGCCGATTTCCTTCAATGTACTCGATGTCTGGCCACGCAATGTACGTCAGTATGTGTAACTACACCGCAAATTGCCTCCGGCTTCTCCCACACGTTTTTTAATCTCTTAAAACCTCAAAGAATATTTTTCCACGGGTAATCAACGGTAAAAGGAGAAAATCAGTGTATTCTCTTTTCCGCTAATTAAACGGAATAATTATACCGGATAACTCAAAAAAATCGATTCCACCGGGAGATTCATTTATCTTCCGGTTCAGCTTCATATCGCTCTCGGTTGGAATCGATAAATGGAGATTAATTTTAATTATTTCGAAATTATGCTGCACAAATTAACTCGGATAGTCAATCCTCGGATTTTCTGTTTTCATCAAGAACCTGTCCTTTTATTAGGTTTTCTGAAGAAAAATACGGAAAACGGAAAAATTTTCCGCTCATATTTCCTGTAGAATTTCTGCTAATTCTGATTGTGACATTCAAGTTTCATGGAAAATTCAACGAGGAAATTCCGATTTGCACGAAAAATTGGATAACTGTAAATATCGGTTATCGGTTAGGATCAATTCATTGATAGTTCACTGAGAAAATTTTAGTACATCACTGAATTCTTCTGAATTCTTCTGTGTTGAAAATTATTGGTCCTTGAAATTTCTTAATTAAATCGCAAATGAAGAATTTTGCAAAGCTGTCATGTTATTTTCTCGTCTTTTTAAATTTACAACTTTGCTATTAAAATATGTAATAAATCTGTTGTGAAGTGACATTTTTGGCAAACAGTAAGGAAATTATGATAACGTTTTAACAAAGCAACGACCTGCCCTCTGCCTGGTAGAATGCGAATTTCGTGACACCGTGGGCGACTTCTCGGTTTATAGCCGCTGTATCTAAATGGCATGACACAATTAATCGCAATGAGAAAAAAAAAATTAATCCCTTAAATTATCTGTGAATTGGGGTAGAGATGGTATGACCTACGAAACGTATTTGTTTTTCTCGACTCGAGGAAAATACAGGAAATTGTTCGAGCATTTCGAAGGATCTTCTCATGGCGATTCTTTCTGTTTGAGGACACGATCACATGAGCAGCGAATTCCCCTATCGAAAAGATACGGCAATTCCAAGAATATTTGTCAATTTAATAAAATGGAAACTTCTTCGTCTCTACCTTGAAAAATGCTAGGGTCAACTGGAGTTTCTTCCTCCCACTTTAGGGCAAATCTCCCTTTCTCTTTCAAGATAACTTGCAAATTCTTAGATCATCACACTTTCAAAGGTACAATTCCAGTGTTTCTGGAAAAAAGAATATTTTTTCTTCGAAATGGAAAAAACACCCATGCATATAAAATAAAAAATTCATTCAATCAGGGACATATAAGAATATTTCCAACTCCAGGGGAATTCCGCTATAATAATTCGCGAGTGCGAATAAATCCTAATATGTTTCCAGTAGCCAATAAAAAAAAATCAAGACTGTCACCTTGAATTCTCAAAAGTCTCCCTTCAGCGCAGTAAGTCTTTTAACAAGAAAAAATACAGAGTCAAATCGGAGCCATGAAAAATAAGACGCCTTAATCGCAATAAAATGAATATTCGCAGTGCTTAAAAGAGCCCTTAGGACAGGATCCTATCACTTTATTCCCGGAAACTGTCACTGAAAAGCGAGCTTCCCTCGTACGAGTGCATTGACACGTTTGCCTTGAATGTCATCGCATGACAGTAACTCGTAGGCAATAAAAATAATAATAAAAAATAAAACAAAATACATTATACGAGGGACGCGTCTGCAAACGCAAGTGTAAGTGCGATTGTCGACAGAATGGCGTAAGAGTGTTGGTAGAAATCGAGTCTGAGGGGCTCCCACTCTGTGCCAAATGACGGTGGAATTGATGGTAAAAAAAGAGAGAAGAACAGTCATCAAGAATGTAGAAGTGAGGGGAGACAGGCGATGCACACCCATCACCTCGACCAATGAGCATTCACAACGTCATCTCGTACGATGTAACGGAAAAGCCGAGCCCACGTGGTGGCTGGTGGTCCCTGGTGTGATATACACGCGCTATTTCAGGCACAAACGACAAGTGTTGAGGTGCTCTAAACTGTCTTTAACGATCATTCGAGAAATACTTCAACCTCGGTTTTTCCATCCAGATCACTCGCTATCCCATTGCAATATTCAATTATATGAATGATTTATTTTTCATTGGAGATGTGAATCATTCTTACGTCTTTTTCATTGATTCTGCACATGCGTGATATTCCCATTTTTTAATGGCATCACTCGTTTTTTCAGGCTCTTTCTGAAGATTGAATAGCTAATGGAGTTGAATTTTTAAAACTTTTTCGAGGGAAAATTCGTTCAATATTGAAGGCGTTAATTGAATTGTAGATCGAAAAGGTTTTTTCATTTGAAATAATGAGTGATTTTCGGACAGTTCATGTGATGACAGGTTTGCAATACTGCATTTGCCTCATTCATTAATTAATGGGTAAACGATTAAACAATGTAGTGCTAAAAAATGGAATTTCAACGCATTTTTTACCCTTTAAATACCCCATAAAAATGTATGCAGAAATCACAAACGCAATATCATTCCGAAATTTATGTAGCGAGTCTCGAAATTCTCGTTTCTCCCTACATTTTTATGAACAATTCAACTTGCAAAGAAATGTCTCATAAAAATGACCTGCAAAAACAATTAAATATGATAAATTTTTCGTTCCTGTTTCACAAATGAAAAGCCACGAAAATCTCATGTTTCAGGGATTACACTGCCACTTCCTCTTATCAAAGTTGTATCGAAATTATTTAAATTAATCCTCAAAGAGTTATATAACGCACCAGATAATGATACTGTTATCTCTCAGGGATGCGGTAATTAATATCACTGGTGATATCGAAAACAGTAAAAATCCGGGACGCCCACATGATCTCGATGACAGCTGTTGAGTCACCGATTTCCCTCCCGATGTTTCCATAATTCCAATAAAATCCCGTACTCCTAATCTACTTGCTAGAATCTCTCGATCACACGACTACACAATTGCAGACGTCATCACGCCATTCCGATTGCTAAATTTTTTGTAAACAAGCCAGACAGTTTATATTATTCATCCTGTCGTCATCATATCATTCCGCCTAAGAAGAATTAGACGCAATTTCCGCACGATAAACACTCTATTAGTAAACAAAAAAATTATACGCCCATGTATTGCACATAAATAACAATTTAATAATAGACCAGTGGCAACTGTTATTGCATCTGTGATTACATCAAGTGCCTGATGAAAACAAATCGAAAATGCAAATCCACCTTTTTCAGAATGACTTTCAATCGAATTAAAGTAGAAGTGATTTAATATTCTGTTTATCTACAGAAAGCAGCACGAGCGTAAATTTTTCACTGATTCATTCAGGCATTTTATAATAATTCGTAAGGCAACCCGGAGTCTCATTATCAAACTTCCTAGACTGTCTCAAAAGCCAAGTTTTCACCGAGTAAAAGTTTTCTGAATGGCACAACCAGGGTAGAAGGAAGGATACAATTAATCCACCGCAAATCTGGATAAATCTATCAGTATATACTCACAGGAATAAAACGCTGCCAAGAGGATGGCGTACCAGGACAACTGTTTCTCCGCAGGATTTCTCATTTTATTAATTAATGAGAAACAATAATTGACAAGTCAGATTCACCGACTGATACCAGTGCAAATGCCCCACTCACTTTCCGAATAGTCTCGAAGAAATCACAATGCTCCAAGATAACTCAACCGAGATATATCGAGTTCACACGGAATTTAACAGAATAACAAGGCAGTACAAAATAACTAACAAAAGAGTAAATAATATAAAATAATGGATTGGCACGGTTGCCGGCGTTTTTTTTTTCAAAAATCGGATTATCAACGTATTTGTTATATCGGGATAAATATATCTCGCGTTGCTGAATGAACAACCGGCTGTGCGCGACTGAGACTCAAGACAGATTCTCACAGTTTGTACAGTTTTTGGCGGCAGACAGACTTTGAAGGGATTGCGAGTTGTGCGCATGCGCAATGCGCTCACGCCACCGTATGTCTGTTGGTTGCCAATTCCCCTCTTCCTCCCCCGCGGACCCCCCAACCACCCCGCGATATTGCGATGCCATATACGATCGGCAAAACCACGGCAAGAGGAACAGAACAGGTTTCTCTCTTGCTCTTTCTTTCGTTATCCCCTCCCCCCTGCCCCCCCACACCTCCCACCCACCTCCTGGTCCTTGGTACTTCTACTCACTGTACCCCCCCACCCCCCATTTGCTATCTCAGTCGGACATTCTCGTTTCCACCTCACCCCTCATCTCTTTTCAACTGGCGCCGTTGTCATTATGAACAGTCGTTACGCCTAATGCCACCGAGGTCCAATTGGATTAATTAATTCATTTGAATTAGGGGGGTGGATGGGGTGAGTATTCCTCGGGGGTGGCATTTTTCGAGGCACTAATAAGGGGTAATCCTTACTCGCGTGAATTACGCATCCCACTTTTTTTTTTATTATTGCAATTTTTTTTTTGTTCGCTGCCCCGGGAAAATTGTAATTATTGGGGGAGGGGGTTCAATTTTTTAGTGGTTAATTGGGATTTTCGGTAAATTTGAATAATTGCATAATTGGATAATTAAATTGAGGGATAGTTTATGGAATTCATAGTGAAAGATTCAAAGTTTTTTGAAATGTTTTATTGATTATTAGAGAATTCACTGGTGGATTTTGTATTGATTTCCAATTTTTCTGGTAGGGGAATATTTTCGGAAATTTTTATGTGGATTTTAGGGACGGTTTTTATTTGTTTCCCAATACGCTGGAAGATCATTGCCTTTTTTTAGTATCTTCCTATTAAATTTTCTGCAATTTCGGTGGAAAACATTTTTCAACGCGAAATTAATATATCCTATTTTATTATTCGGCTCGATCTTTTGATTTCAAACAATTTTTATTTTGAGTTGAAACTTTTCTTTATTTGAAATTATTCCTGAGAAGACATCTCGTTGACTGGACTTAATTACTGGAACAGAGATGCTGGAGCCTTTGGCGACATGGACCCGCAAAGGTCCCATTATTTTACAAATGTTTAGACTGCAGAGTTAAATGTCCAAACATTTATCCACGCACTTCTCAGAATTCGAAATAAAAAACATGTTCTCACAAATAACAACATATAAAATTACTTTTTGTAATCGTGAAATGTCAAGTCCAAAAAAATTCCTTTCCATCTGCTGAAATCGATATAAATTACTCCACATGAGTATTTCGAAAAACAAAAATCGGTGAATGCAATATTAAATTCCCAATTAATTGAAACTTCAGCGTTATTTCCCGGATAATGATGTCGGGTCGAAAATTGAATTAACCTGAGGAATTCCCGCCTTCGCGGTGCTTGAAAATGAGGGCATCCTTGAATTTTCAGAGAAATTAAATTTCACACTGAAAATAAAGCCGACGCGTGTCCGTTTATTTTCCCAGATATTCCATAAATGCGTTATTATAAAATATCCCATCTCTTTTTAATGAAACATTGAATTATTCGAAATTCTCCACGGAATGATAAAAAATTTTCAGCCTTATCTGTTTTTTTTTTCAATTACGTGCTATTTGTATTCGAAATAACAGATAAATGCGGTAGAAAGAGCGTAACTCGTAAATTCCTCGAATTGATACGACTAGTATCAGTCGGAGATATTAAAAGCAAATTAGCCGTGTGACTCCTGCAATTGTGGTATTAATATTCCATTTCTTTTATCTGTACGCTTGAGACTAATGCCCAAATCGTGGCAATTAAATACAGACTAATTCACCACCGACTATACATCACGTGGACAAATTTTGGGGATAAACCGAGAGCAATTTAAAGCCACGAGTGCCAGAGTAGATGCTAAGGCTGAAAAGTTTGAGATAAAAGGTAAATAATAGATGCAAACAGATCAATAGTTAGATAGTACAGTGTATTGTAACGTGGAGGTGTTCAAGCAAGGCCAGTTATACATCCAAACAAATCTCCTAGAGTTAAAATCTATTTTAAACACAAAATCAAATTTATTGTTTTTTTTTTGGGAAAAAAAATCGTGTGAAATTATAAGTTATTGGGCCAGATGATAATATTGGTGAATATAGTGAAGTCTGCACTTTTTAGACTTTTCAAGAAAATTGAAATTAGTATTGGAATTTTCATGGAATTTAATATTCAAGGTATCTTTCACAATATCAATGATTACTTTCCATGAAAATCCTGAATTTTATTGTAGCGAAGTCGTAAACGGAGATGAGTTGTACTTATCGCTCAATTGAGTCTTCGAGCAATACTTACGAATCTAAACAATATAGAGAAATTTTTGTAATAACATTTGTTGGAGAACTCAATTGGCTGCGGAAAAAAGGTTATAATAAAAATTTTACTAGCTTCTCCAGATTCTGAGATATTCATTAAACACTTGGCAATAGTCAAAGTGGGTTCATCTCCGTTTAGCACTACTGAATTCGGTTTCAATCGCTGAAAATTAAATCAATTATTAACAGCGTGGAAATTTCTTCGGGCGTAAATTTTTTCAGATTTCCACGTCAATTTTCCGAGTCCATGAAAATGAAGGCATTTCACCGTGCTAGTACAGTCATATCTCTGATATTTGTATCTCCGTCCAGGAACAAAAAAATATTATGAAAAAGCGTTTGCCTCCAATTTCTACGGAATATTTATGATAACAATACAGAGTTATCTCTGAACGTTCCGTAATTCTGACTTTATTTTAATTTTCAAAAAAAAAATCGTTCCCTTGAATATTCAAAAAATGTTCGATCCACAGGCCACCGAAAAAGCCTGAAGATACTGAAAATTCTACCAATACAATCTCTGAATTTTCAATCTACATTAGAAAATTGAATTCTATTTAATTTCTCTTTCTATTTCATTCCCACAAAAATCAAAATTCAATGGTTTTTCAATATGAATGACAAATCCAGTGAACGATTTCGATCATACATACATTCAATACATAATTTACATAATTAAAAATTCAGAGGACATTGTGACTGAAATAAATAAAATTGGTAAGTACAGATATTGACAGATTCGGGTAAAGAGCGAATAATAGATGTAAGCAGGTGAATATTCAGACAGCGGTGCAGTAACGAGAAAATGTCGCAGAAAGACGAGTGATATATCTACAAAACACAAATACATATGCTAGTGGTAAAATTTAGTGTACGTGTTTACACTTTGTTTTCCCCAATGAGCTGTTTCGTAGCGTTGGATATGGAAACATCAGTGTCCCGAGTGGTTCATGAGACCTGGGGTGACGCTGGGGATGACGTACATCAGACTGACAATTCGAGTATTATTGTAATGCAGTCAACCTATGACTCGGCTGTGTGTTTATCTTGGTTTTTTTTATTTCTGTGTCGTGACGAAAGTTGAGGAGATTATTTCGAGTGTTGGGTGGGGGCCACCAAGTCCTCCAGCACTTGACAAACCATGAGACGTTCAGCAGTTTCATTGGATAATGTTTCTCACCTGAGGTTCAGCTCTTGACACCGATGTATTTATGTGTCGAATGATGACACTTTTTCATGAGCTCATTACTGGATATCTCTGGAAACCTCGGGTCATTTTTTTTTAGTTTATCGGAGATAATGGAGGTGCATTCTAAAGTTTCTCGATTTATTGGTCAATGAGACTTATGAGCTCATCACTCATTGTTTCGGAGTAATGACGATGGAATTCAACTGTTGGCGGTTGTGGGGTATATTCAAATATATTCCGAGCAATTTTCCTTCACGGTAATTGCATTTTTCATTGAGGAAAATGGGGTGAATGTGTGACTGAGAAAAAAATTACGTATGTCAAGTCGCACTTGATGCGACTCATTTTTTTTTGCGATCTCACTTTAGTTACGCGCAATTTACTTGCTTTAAGGGAATGAGTGTACGCATTCGAATTTGAAACGTGTGGGTTTTATCGAATAATAAAAAATGAATTTCGGAAATTTCTAACTCGTGTCAGGGTTCACATTTTTTCAGAGCCAATATACTACGGGATCACATTATCCCCGAAATTCTGACACTCGCCTTTAAATGTTACACAAACTTTGTAAGGAAAAAAATTTTTCCCCATATGATGTTAACGTTTTCCTCCGCATATATTTCTGGATATATATTTCTTCATATATATATATATGCAGACATATATTCATAATGAGTGGCTACAAATTTATTTAAAAAAATGAAGAGCATTACCTTTATAGTGTACAAAAAAAATTGTAAAAGCTCGACCAGTCGTCCGATTTCCTCTTTTTATTTCCCAGCTACATCATAAAAAATTAACTCCTTTTGCAGTCAACAGTCGAATGTTTAATACCATTGAACGGGCAATGATGTCCGTCCACGTCAATATCCCATTCACATAAAGCATTTGAAAAAACCTGACGTCATTTGAGACTGTACCCTCGACGATCGACTCCCGTAATTTTCCATCCGACAACCTATAATCCGCGGTAAAAATTCCGTTCATTTCCATTCTTCTCCCGGCCCTCCCCACAAACCTCAACAGTATTACTTTTTAATTGGCGACTTACGGAATGAAATGCCAACGGAATTTGCGAACAGCCGGTGAAAGCTCTCTAAGAGGATTCAACGTAAGGCGATTTCCTATTTGGAATTCGTTTGTTCATATATAGGGAATGAGGTGATGGAATTAGATGCCTCAGCAATGTTGCATCACTGGAAAAAAGCGCATACAGGATAAAATTCAATAAAAATCAATGAATAATTCACGTAATTAGCGGTGGGTAATGGTTTTCGAAAAATTTTCATACCAATGATTTCCCAGAATTGTAATTGAACATTACGGAAACTATCCGACTTTATTATGCCTGGGAAATGAATAATTCTTGACATTTGAACTTAAATTTGTAACTTGAAGTGTATAATTTTTTAACTAACGGCTGCGAAAATA